ATTAGGATTACATAAATTTTGAGATACAAGTCACTCTCGTTATAGTGAAGTGATCCGTTCCATAGTAAAAATTTTTAAAAAATTCATTATATCGAGAGGTTATTAGTAAATTCACTATATCGAAAGGATTTTCTATAGATTGGTTTAGGATTACCTTCACTATACTATAGCGAGTGTTCACTATAACGAGAGTGACTTGTATTATTTATTCGAAAAAAAAAACCATAAATATTAACTAATCAACCAATCAAAATCGAAGTCCTGTAATACTTGCTAATTTATATTTGTCATGTGATTTTTAATTTACTCAATTCTGCAATTACGAGAATTAGTAATCAACTTAATTGTCTCCGCTATTTCTGTATTTAAACCATTTTTTTTCGATTGAAAAAAGAAAGAACATTTTTTAAACATTTTAAATCATTTAAATCATTTTAATTGCTCCTATTTTTTTGTGCCTAAAATGATCAACGAGGATACAGGTACGCGTTTATTTTTTTGTCACTATTTAAAAACTGTTTCTAACTTCTAACTCTACAATTTCTAAACACATTAGACGTTCAGAACGCGAAAGATACTGTAGATGTTCTACCATCCTTTCCCCTTCCTGATAGCCCTCAGCGCGCAAAAGATACGTCAGACGTTATACCGGCTTTTCCCCTTCCTGATAGTCCTCAGCGCACGAATTCTTCCCAATCCAAAAAACTTACTCCTCTTGAAAAAGCAAACAAACTACGACAAAAAGTGTTTTTAGAACCTGGTCATTCTGCTCTAGATTGGGCAAGGCTGAAAAACAGCGATGTTGATTTGACGGTAACCTATACTATTTATATTACCATCGTGCTATTAATAATGTTTAATGTCGATATATAGCATTAGTCGACTTAACCGACTTAGTCGACTTTAAGTTAGTCGTTTTTTAAAAATATTGGCTTAGTCGATTATTGATATGTACTAGCGTGGTGATACATTCTCGTCGAGATATCGTGGGACAACTTATCGTAAAATGGGCAAATATAAGGAATCACTTGATGATTTAAATAACCCATTAAAAATTGATCCAAAAAATTCAAAATCGTAGAGTAATATATTATCAATTAGGATGATACGAGGTGCCACTTGTAGATTTAAGTGGACAATTGAAAATCGAGCCAAATAGTGCAGTTACATTAAGAAAACGTGGAGAAGCATAGAGTACGATGAAAAGATAGAATTGCTTGCAGATTAAGGAGTCGTGGGGTAACCTATCATATGATAGGTAAATATGAACCATCTCTATTAGACTTAAATGAATCATGAAAGATCGACCAAAATAACACAAGCATTAAAAGTCGTGGAGAAACTCATCGAATGAAATGATGTAAAAGCATTAAGAGGTCATGGAGAAACTTATCGAATGTTAAAAAAATATAAAGAATCACTCGGAGATCTAAAATCATAGCATCTGACCTGAATAATGTACTTATATTAAGAAGGTGTGGTGCAACGTATTGAACGATGAGCATGTATTTTGAATCACTAACAGATTTAAATAAATCATTTTAAATCGATCCTGATAACGTATTCGCGTTAGGAAGCCGTGGAGAAACTTATAATATGTAAATACGATGAAACAATTGCAGGTTTAAATAGATTAAGAAATTGTGGAGAAAATTTTTCATATGATGAAAAATATAAAAATCATTTTTAAATTTAAATAAATCATTAAAAATCGATCCAAATAACGCACTTGCATTAAAACGACGTGGAACAACCTATCTCGTAAATATTAAGAATCATTTGTAGACTTAGATAAATCATTAAAAATTGCACGAAATAATCCATTTGACGTAATATGATTAAATAATATTAAAACTTGGCCATAAAAACAAAACTTATCGAATTCAGCTTAATAATCATCGATCAATCTATATCAGTTGTTCCAGAATTAAGAACAGCTGTAAGTGCTTATTTGCTATGCTGCATATGATAATAGTCAACTAAGCCAACTAAGTTTAATTATCGACTTGACTAAGCTTATAAAAATTGTCGACTACAAACACCAGCTACTAATACCAAGTAATGCTAATCCTTGTTTTTATTCTTTTAGGGTGTTTCAGAAATAAGAAAATATACTCTCGATGAACTCAAACTTCATAAGTCGAAGAATGATGCTTGGACTGCAATAAACGGAAAAATATATAATATCACTCCATATTTAAAATTTCATCCTGGAGGTACGTAAATTTATATTATCTTTCCGAATATCAGTAACAAACTAAAGAGTATAAACCAATAGGTGAAAAAGAATTAATGCGCGCAGCTGGGAAAGATGGAACAAAACTATTTAGTAAGTTATTGTATATTTTACATATAAATATTTTTTAATTGACATTACTGAATTAATTTTATAATCTTATAAACCAGTGAACATACATTCATGGGTTAATTATGATTTAATGTTAGATAAATGCTTCGTTGGATTTTTGGTTGGCACAAAAACTACGTTGACTTGAGGTCATATTTGCTTTCAATATAATAATGTAGAAATTTTTATTCATTTTAATAATTCAACCTTCAATTAATAAAATATATATAATACGATTACATTTTTCTTTGTTCTTTCAAGTCTTGCATCTCTTTTTCGCTCAAAGTCCAGAAATCTTTTTTTTTCTGTGCGTACCATGCTCTTATCTTCAGTAAGTAAAATAATGCTTATAAAAGCGGTCCGATAATAAAGTTAAATGTCACTGCGCATTTTTAAATACTTACAGGAGTAAAACAATGATCTTTTTCACCGAAATCTGCGTATAACACTGCATATGTTGCTATAGCTAAATAATTAAAAAAATTTCCTGTTTGATATCAATTTTTGGTTTTCAGAACTTTAAAAAAATGGTTTTTTTAGGGGCTGGTATTCATACCCCCCAAAAAATAAAATTTTTTAAACTTTGAGCGAAGATATCTCAATAACCACCTGACCAAATTCGATAAAAGTTTTTTTATTTCAATTCTACAGACCTGTAGAATTCAATAAAAAAAAATTATCGACTTTAATCAGTTGGTCGTAGAGATATCTTTGCTTAAAGTCGGAAAATAGAAGCTGCGCCAAATTATTTTTAAAACTTTAAACGAAGATAATTCGACAACCACCTAATCAAATTCTCGATGCGATGAAATTTTTTTTATCGAATTTGGTCAGGTGGTCGTGGAGATATCTTCGCTCAATTTAGAGAAAAATCAAAATGGGAGCTGCGCCAAATTATTTTTAAAACTTAAAACGAAAATGTCTCGGCAACACCTGACCAAATTCGATGAAAATTTTTTATTTGAATTCTATAGATCTTTAGAATTCAAATAAAAAAATTTTCATCGAATTTGGTCAGGTGGTTGTCGAGATATCTTCGTTTAAAGTTTTAAAAATAATTTGGCGCAGCTCCTATTTTAGATATTTTGATTTTTCACTAACTTTGAGTGAAGTTATCTCCACGACTACTTGACCAAATTCGATAAATTTTTTTAATTGAATTCTACAGATTTGTAGAATTCAATTAAAAAAAAATTTATCTAATTTGATCAGGTGGTTGTCAAGATATCTTCGTATTAAGTTTTAAAAATAATTTTGGCGCAGCTTCTATTTTGATAAATGGATTGATTTTCTCTGACTTTAAACGAAGATATCTCCACGATCACCTAAATAAATTCGATGAAAATTTTTTTATTTAAATTCTACTGATCTGTAGAATTCAAATAAAAAGTTTTCATCGAATTGGTCAGGTGGTTGTCGAGATATCTTCGTTTAAAGTTTTAAAGATTTAGCACTGCTTCTATTTTGATGGTTTGATTTTTCTCTGACTTTGAGCAAAGATATCTCTACGACCAACTAATTAAATTTTTTTTTATTTGAATTAGAATTTAAATAAAAAAACTTTTACGAGATATCTTATTTTTTGGGGGGTATGAATACCCAGCCCCCTTTTTTTTATTATCTACCTCCATAAGAGAATAACCTAAGCATCTTAAACAATTTAGCTTTAGGTGAGTATGTTCGTTCATGTTCTATTTGAGCAAATTTTTTTGTCACTCTTCGATGATACTTTTCATAAAGTCGTGGATCAACAGTTTGAGATGATCTAGGGGACGGCTCGAACATAATGTGTGTAAGATTAACATAATTGATTGTTCTATTTATATGTATAATTAATCAGGCGACTTTTTAATCGTAAAAAAAAACGCCCTGCCTACTAAAGTAAGGATTTTAGAAAATAGCCAATCAAAAATAGAAACGTTTTTTTGTTTCAATTCCATATAAAAAGACCGTAATTGATACATTTTAAAATCCTGTGAATTCCTTATTTCACTTACTGCAAAGTTACAGTAATAATAATGGATAATAAACTTTCGTGTGCTAAATATGAATTTACAATGAAAGCCAGTGATGTTGAAAGCACATATCATACCCCCATATTTTCGACGAAAGGTGAAAATCAACTATGGAACTTACGTATTGGGCCTGTATGTATCTCTGTTATATTTTAAAATGGTTGCTACAGCTATGTATTAAACACTAAACTTTTGATAATATTATATCAGCTTTTTATTTAAGCTTTCCTTAATATAGTATACTTATTACAAGTGTTTTGCTTCGTATGTTTTTTTTTTGGGGAAACAAAACAACAGTCCGCTAAAAAACAAGCAGAATATCTCGAAGTCTTCCTACAAGCTGTACCTTCTGTCACTGAACTTATTACCGAAGGTCCTTGGATTTCTCGTCAAGGTCTCTCCTGCGAAATCTACATAATTGATGAAATGGCATGCACCATTGTGGTCTCCAAAAAGTTTAAAGAAAGTCCTTTCGAAAAATTTTCACGGAAGTCGTCCGGATGTGGTAAGTTGCATTCATTACTTCAATGTTATTATATGGAGTAATTTTTGACTCACAATATGGTTATTTAGGATGGCCGTGTTTTATTAAGAAATCTTCACTTCCAGAAAGCTTCATACTTGGCATCTGTTTTTCGATGACTACAGCTCCTCGCGTCCAACCTCCTCAATCCATTGATAATGCTTTTCAATATACTCTACCTGATCTTGCTACCGCTTGGGGTACTATGCTAGATAATCCAAATACTGCTGATGTAGTTTTCAACGTGCAGGGAACCAAAATATATGCCCATAAAGATATTCTTCGTGCACGGAGTGCATATTTCCGTGGTATGTTTAATAGCGGTTGTGTTGAAAGCGTAGCAAAGTCTACCGAATCAAATAAACCATCTAAACGGGAAAATAAATCATCTCATGTTTCAACGCAAAGTCCGTCTTCTCGAAGAGAAAATGCTTTAAAGACCTTGAGCCTTCAATACAAGCCACCTGAACCTACAATCCCTGTAGTAGATGAGACTGTTTCATCTAATAGCGATTTGGAAATAGTAACCATGGAAACCTTGGCCATTGATATTAAGGCTGAGGAAGGGAAAGAACAAAGCATATCAGATGTCAAGAAGACTAGTGATGCTAACCAGGTTTCTGCCGTTGATGCGTTAAGCAAGCATTATGAACAACGTTTGGCAGAATTGCAAACGAAACTTTCTGATGCCCAACAAACACAATCGTTGATTATTGATAAAATACAAAATTTGCAGACTAATTTTGATGATTTTCGTGATTCTGTTAAGCGTAAAGAAGAAGAAATCATTACAAAAGAAAAAGAAGTTATTTCCCTTAAAAAATCAATCCAGACACTCGTATCAGAATTTTGTGGAGTGGATAATATCAAGTTTGTTAACACTTCTTTTGAAGATAAACGTTCATCAACAAAAGCATTACCATCATCGCAATCGGTATCGCAATCGGTATCACAACAACCACAACGACAATATCATGTCATCGAAGTCACAGACTTTGAACCAGTAACGTACCGTCGATTTCTTCATTTCTTGTACACCAATCGAATCCCTTCTGAGATTGCACTGCCGGCATGTCTTGCACTTTTTAAACTATCAGACAAATATCAACTCATTACTGTTCGTCGTGCGATGCTTCTACGTATTGAAACATTGCTTACAGTAGATAATGTGGCAACAATACTTTTTCAACAAGCATATTTGTACAATGATTTCAAGCAAATTTGTATGGACTATCTATTGAAGCACTATGAAGAAGTTACAAAAACGAAAAGCTTTGAACTTATTCTTACTTGGTCAGGCGAGTACCCAGCATTTCCTGAAGTTATGATGGAAATAATGAGATCCATTCCAAATAGAGATTGTTTAACGTCTACAACAGCATGTAATAATAATACTGATGCGACTGCTGATAACTAAAAATATTCATAAATTATTAAGGTATGCTATAAAAGATTTAGGAAGTCTTTTGGGCTTGGATGGAGATTGATATAGAATACTAGCCATATTTAAAGAAAACTTATATTTATTATCATTTATTGATTATTATTTTGTATAGCAAGATAATTTGTTTAAATATGTATTTCTGACTTAAAATAGGTATTTATGCTGATGGTTATGATATAACTCTACAATTATTAATTAAAGACACGTTTTATTTAAAGTGTTGAGGGAATACTCAAAAATGATTTATTTTATATCGAACTTTTAATCCTTTTTTTTTTGTCTTATCAACTTCGTTTCAGGGACGTAGGGATCTTATGATTTACGGAGTTACACATTTATAAAGCTTATAGTATTAATTCCTTTAGATCGCAGAAAATCTCCAGATCCTCATGTCTTTTGCTCAAATAATATCATGACAAGATTGATTAATAAAAATTTTATTAATTTTATCGCTTATATAATGGATCATTCAATTACACGAATTATTGTTCCCCATCGAAATTTCCAGTTTGCTGTAGCATTAGCGTTAGGATTTCTAAAAAGACCGATTTCGGTTAGAGTAAGTCTACGGACACAAACTATCCCATCGTACCCAGTAAAAAAGTGCTGACAGGTGACAATAGACAAATAATTGATCACGATTTGGTGTAACGTGCTACGATCAGGAATATCCAAAACAAAACTTTTACTAAAACTAGAAAAACGGGATCCGTTGGGTTCCGGAGCGCCGCTTTGTATTTGTAAACAAACCTAATTATTTGCAAGATATTAATAAAAATTCTTATAGTATAAGCGTATAACATTTATATACTTATCTTTATATATCTATCTAATGAAAGATAAAGGTTTTAACACTGTAAAATCGAATCTTAGATGCACTTTGACCACTTTAGATGATGTAATTATATAATTTACATAAAAATTGATCTTACTTATTAGATCACAAAAATTTAAGTAGTTCTCATTACATCTACATTTCAAATCAGTTTATAGGACGCCATAAAAAAATACATAATTAAAAAAGTACACATAAAACTTCTAAAACTGATTTGTCCGGATTCTGAGAATAAATTAAATTTAAATGTCCATATTAAATGCGAAATTAATTAAAAATCGGGCTTATATCTATAAGTCACTTTTCTTCAAGTATTCGTTCTTGTATCCTTGAGCATTTTTTAATATATTGAAGTTTCTTAAAAGTAAAGTATTCAAAATTTTGATTTATTACTGCACTAAACTCATATATGGCATTTATTTCTATAATTAAACTGCTATCGCGAATTTATTTTATTATGAGCAATTAGAATTTATTATGCTGCATCATATATAAAACTTAAATTTAAAGTGCAATATGTCATATACTTCTAAGTAACAGTAAATAAAGTTAAATTTAGAGTGCGATAATTAGAAATTTTTTTTGCTTATGATCTTATCCTACACTCGGAACCCACCTGGAATTTTTTTTTCACCTATTGTCTGGACTTAAGTTCCTCCACTCTGCTCCGGAAATTAAGGTGGTATTTTATTTGTTTTTTTTATAGTTCTTTGCTTTGCTTGAGTTTTAAGTTTTTTATGTTTTACCTCGTTTCGATCGGCTAGGTTTTAAATTCTACAATTTTTTTTACCATATTTCAACAATCATTAATTGCTAACTTAAAGTTTTAATTAAATTTCACAATAATGTAGATGCAATTTAAGCATATATACTAGAACTTTATATGTGGGAGGTTTGCCAGTCAGTTTTAGCTAACTAATAATTAGAAGATCAGGTGTAGCAGTAAAACAATTAATATTTAAAATTCTCTCTTATTAATGAAATAGAATACAGATACATAAAGCTAGTTTTGAAAATAACCAATGCAATAACTTTCGGCCTCAATTCAAGCACAGTTTTACATTTGTTATGTTCTGCCTCACTTCGCTTGGCGTTGTTTTAAATTTTAAAGATATTGATCGCACTACATTGTAGATTTAGATTTTAATCAAGACTAGTGAACAACTCATTGTAATGGGAAATATTCAATAGTTGGCATGTGAGATGGCATTAACAAATGCTATTTCGGTTTTGACTCGAGGTGAAACATAGGTATTGAATAATCTAAATGAAGCTGATAGTCATGTAAATAAGTATCGTTAGTTATAGATGCTGGCAGTAAGAACCTGGTTCTCAAATTAAATCTTTTTTGCTTTTTTCGAGTAGGCATCACTGTATCTTATGGTTTTATTGTATTTTGGTTGTAGAGTAGTGATGATTTGAAACTGTCTGTCAAATTGTGTCAAAGGCATTACTAATTGATGTATAACGACATTATTATATCCTATTAAATTACCTAATTAGACAAAGCAGACAGATATTAAAATAAATATTTGGCTACTCTTGTATCTATACCAAAATTCTGAAAGTTAAAATCTCTAACTTAATTGTCTCGTCGTGTGATGTTGGATTACTATTTTTTTCATTACCAAAATCATTAGCTCATTTACTGTTGAATTACAAATCTACTTGCTGTTGAAATCATGAACATACTCTTTGTTTGGGTCATGAACTATTCACTGTTGAAATTACAATTTACTGCTAAACTTACAAACCTACCACTACTTACTGTTAAAATAATGAACTTATCCATTGTTGCAAACTGGTTCCGCTCATTTCACCGACACAATATTTCATCAACAATCAGCTCACCGACAATCAATTCACTGATACTCAATTCACTGACAAGTTTAATTCACTAACCTTACAGTAAATATAATTCTGGTGTAATTACTTTGTTGGTGAATTGAGTGTTGGAGTTGGAGTGTCGGTGAATTGAGTGTCGGTGAATTGAACATGTCGGTGAATCGATTATCGGTGAAATGCTATTTCTACGAAATGAGTGTCAGTGAAATGAGGCGGACCTAATAAAAAAAAGTCAAATGTAAGAACTCACATCCTATATAGGTGACAAAAAAGTAAGTGGATTGGTAGAATTAGTGTTCTTGTACCATTATTTACTGTAAAAAAAAAAAACTGTCGTATGTAAATAACTTACAAACTTATATAGGTGACAAAAAAGTAAGTGGATTAGTTAGAATTAACGTTCGATAGAGCATTGATTTGTATTATTTACTGTAACAAAAAAAAAGTCGTATGTAAAGA